ACACAAATTTTATCAGAGACAGAGAGCAAAAATTTTATGTAAAGCAGTGAGTACAATAAAAAAAAGAAATGAATTGTGTAATCAGACTCCAGTACAAATTATTCAAAGAAAAATCCAATCCAGATGGCCTTACGTCTATTAGAAAAGAAAAATAAATCACAAAGTGACGATGTCTTCCCTTCAGAGAAATCGTAAAAAGAACGAAAAAAAGTAAACGATCTCGCCAGGGATCGAACCTGGAATCTCCCGCTCCGTAGGCGGGCGCCTTAGCCGTTGGGCCACGAGACCGTGCTCTTCTCAATCTCATATTTCGCTCTTATCCTTATCTGTGAAATCACTTTCAGAGCCGATAGAAAATAAACATGTTTCACTAACTTTAATGAGAAATATAAGTAGTCAATACCTAACTAGTTAAGTGCCTTATCTGTTGCAGATGTTGGCTAACATGATACGCCAATTTCTCCGGTCTTGTGCTGCGTGAAGGAAGTCTATTTTCTCATATCCTTGTTTTTCAACCCAGATGTTCGTGTTTTCGAGGTACTTGATTCTTGGTCGGCCTTGGCCTTTTTGCCCATTGATTTTTCCACTTAGTACCAGGTGTTCCAAGCAACGTTTACGGATTATATGACCAAGGAATTTGGGCAGGACACTGTGGAATATGGGCCACAGTAAGTAGATTTTAGTCTTCTACTATTCCTGTTTTATTTCTCTCCTGTGTTTTCCAGAAGTGGTCAACAGCAACAGAGCCCCTCGTATTGTGGTGGTCTAAACTATGGGCAACAGTACGTACATATATATTTATTATGCGATTAGTTTTGACGAAAGGAGCCCATACAGTATTTTATGTACCGTCAAGTCAAAACAACTAAAAAGTTTATTACATTGCATCTTATTTTGTAGTTAAGTTATTCTTTGTTCAACTCTCTGATTTTCTTTTCTGTTTTAGAAGTGGTCAACAACAGCTGCCCTCCACCATTAATGTTTGGGCCCAATCGTAAGTACACTTCTAGTATTATTCGTCTAACATAAATTTTGCGTGCTCTGGTTTAGAAATGGGCAACAGCAACCGGTGCCTGATCTCACTCCTCCTCTTCCATCGTTTCAACAGCAACAACAGGATGTTACTGATCAACCCACACAACAACAACAACAACAACAACAATTATTAACAGCTCTCCCTCCTGATGCCCATTAATATTTTTTTTCTGTGTTTGTGCTACTTTCTTTGTGAAATAAAAAGAAAGACTCGTTGATGTTCTGTTAAATCGCTTGTCAACAAACAATCGGAAGTCAGTTGAATGATACGGATACACATCTCATTTTAAAAGCTAAATCCACGTACCTCAAACAAAATAAAGCTGTAAAGTTTAAAGACAAACTGCCCTCTGTATAAAACTTAATTCTTCCTTTAAGATTGAACTTAGACCAGGTCTTAGACCAAACTTAGACCAGGAAATATACATTTTTTTATGCCGCAGGTTCGATTCCCGCTCAAATATCCTTTTAAATTTAAAATTTTTTTTTCGCAAAAAAGCAAGGTGACCCATTTGAGATAAACACGACTTCATAGGTAACCGACCATGCTGATCATCTTCCCGCAAAAATTTTTCTGGCAACCCCTTTAGAAAAAAAGTTTCAAATTTTGATATGACCAGGTGTTCCAAGCAACGTTTACGGATTATATGACCAAGGAATTTCAGTTGCCTATATCGAATGGTATTCAGCAAACATCTTTTCCATTTCGTTCTCCTTAATATTGACTCATTGCTTTTTCTATCCGTCCAAGAAACATTCAGCATGCTTCTTAGAAACCACATTTCAGTAGCCTCCAAGCGTTTTTCCATTTCTTTGTTGATCGTCCAACATTCAGATCCATATAAGAGAACCGACCACACGTAACATTTGAGGATTGTTGTCTTAGTGCTGATCGATATGGTTCTATTTTTCAGAATTGGACTCATCTTTTGGAATGCTTGTTTAGAGAGAGCAATTCTCTTTTTGATGTCTTCATCACATCGTCCATCTGATGTTATGTTAGATCCCAGATAATTGAAGCGAACAACTTGTTTGATTGACTCTCCATTTATATTTACGTTCATGACTCAGTTCCGACATTGATAGAAGACCCCATTGGGCGACAGGGCGGAACACGCCAATCTATTTTATCAAAATAATCAAAAGATACAAGCATAAATTCGACAAGCATAAAACTCGCTAATATATCGCTTGGTAGTAGCCCACTGATGTCGACCACATGCCGGTATAGAACCGAATGGGCTTGTGTCGAAACATTGGGAGACTACAAGCAAGGAGCAGATACCTGGAAGAACTCCGAAGGGCATGTGTCCTTGCTTGGCAGTCGAAAAGTTAGTAAGTGTTATGTATGCAGAGCTATGGTTATTGTTCGGAAGAGCTAATTGCTGCTTGATAATGATGTTGTGATTGTAAAGGCTGGTGTGATTGTAGAAAAGAAAGAGCTGGAAACCATTGATAGCGTAGGACCAGCTGGGAATTGAGACGTCTAGAGGAGGCGCTGGGGAGGTGGCGGATTGCTTAAACTAAGTTTCTTCTCACTAGAAAATCAGAAATTAAGACAAATATAAAATTTTCTTCTTCAACGAAATTTTCGTTCCAGGACCGCTTGACTACTATAAAATGACGGTGGCGCTTGCTGCA